AAGAAAACAGTAAATGTGCTAGGTGCACAAGTTTGGATACCCTTCCAGTCACTACTTTGTAACACCTTCTTTGGCAGAAATGACAGCTTCCAAACATTTCCTGTAGCCAGCTAAGAATCTCTGTTCTTGCTTTTCCTACTCTTCTTTGCAGAACTCTTCTAGCTCAAAAATAGTCCATGGCCTCCTTGCCTGCACTGCACAGTTGAGATCTCCCCACAGATTTTCAATAACAATTCACATCTGGGAACTCTGGAGGCCATTCCAAGCCCTTTATCTTTCTTTCCAATAATTACTTTGAGAGTTGATTTGGAGGCAGGATTGGATTTGGACTGTTGTCTTGCTAAAATAGCCAATCTCTTTTCAGCTTCAATTTCTTCACAGACTGTGGAACATTAGCTTCTAGGATGTACTGATAATTAGTTGAATCCATTCTTCCTTCTACCCATGCAATATTTCTGCATCATTGGCTATCACACAAACTCCAGAACATAACAGCACCTCTCCTGTATTTAACAGTTGTCAAGAAGTTCTTTTCTTCAAATGCTTCACCTTTTTCCTCCAAATGTATCTAGTGTGGGTATAGCCAAGCCATTTATTATCAGTACAAAGCACTTGTTCCAAAATGTGTCAGGCTTATCAAGCTTTTCTCTTACATACTTTAGACCAATGTTTCTTGAACTTTTTTTCTCTCAGGACCCCTTCCCACTTTTAAAAATTATGGAGGACACCAAAAGAGCTTTTGTTTATATGGGGTATATTTATCAATATTTACCATATTAAAAATTAAAATTGATGCATTTACTGCCACTACCGCTTCTTATGATTGTTTGATAGAATTTTATTATTGCATTATTTTTCAACATAGGCTAGCAAATAATTTTGATTTTGGGAACCCCTGAGCGGGTCATGGGGGACCCCCAGGGGTCCTAGGACCACACTTTAAGAAGCCCTGCTTTAGAATGTAACTTTTTAAACTAGGTTGGAGGAAAGGTTTCTTTCTGACAGCTATCCCATGCAGCCATTTTTGAATAAATATCACTGCATTGTGGACAGCTTCTAGGGTCATGTCAGCTAAACCTTTCAGCAGAACATTTGTAGTGATCTGGCCAGTTTAGGGGCAGTTTTAATAGAGATTTTGCCTTGATTCAGTGGTTCCATGTAATTTCAATTTCTTAATAGCCTTTCTCGGAGTTGAAATTACTAGTTGAAAGGATTTAAGTATTTTTTATAAAGCTCTCCTGCCTTGCAAATTATCTTCATTTCCAGATGCTGAGACTGTTGCTTAGAAAGCTCATATTGAAAGTAGACAAAACCACAGTCATAACTTGCAAGGGTCAGAGTTTTTGTTCACCTGTCGAATTGTCTTTATCTGGCTAATTATAGGCCTAATAATCAATCACCTTTTGGGGGCATATTAACAACTTCTCAGTAAAAACGAAGTAGCGCTGAATCAACTAGAAGGATGTCCAGGCTTTTACATCTGCCTCATGTACTGTAGTCTTATTTTGAATCTGTAAACAACTGCACATATATAGTAAGTATGCATTCAAATTTGCAGAAGGGTGTTAACTTTGTACTACGTAGAAGAGGTATCTACTTCTGTTCACTTAGAATTTGTTGCAATAAATACTTTGATTATAAGTGCTTAAACTTCTTCATATAGCTATGTTATTATTAGATTTTTCAGTCTAGTAAAGAGTTTTCTTTGTGAAGTCACACTTACTATCACTGTTGAACCATCATTTTATTATCTCTTTGAAAAGCTCCACTATATAGGCACCCACGCTGTGACTTTTCCTTTCACCTGTTCATTGCATAAGATTAATAAGTGGAGAGTGATAAAAGGAAGTAATGCTTTTTCCTTCAAAATCCAAACATAAAGTAATTGCTAATGTGTCAAAAATGACACAACTTAGATAAACCTGTTTTTACAGCAAGAGACTTTCTGTCACTAGGCTTTGAGATTTCTGTGTTCCATATAAATTTGGCTATACAGAGCGAAGGACGAAAAAAGAGAAGAACTTACCTCAATAAGGCAAAAATAATTCCTTCCTATCTAACAAGTACAGTGAGAGTTTGATATTTGAAGATGAGCTGTCAAGCACAATATAACTACAAAGTGATTAATGTTGAAATAATCATAATTGGGGAAGCATTACTCTATGAATAATTACAAAACTGTGCCATAAAGAAATAGCCATGGTCTTTCCTAACATGATTATAGGCCTTGGTCTGATAGTTAGAATATATTGCCGACACAATCTGACTCTCAGAATTATGAGATTATGTGAAGGAGCAATTTGTCAAGGCTTTTGGCTAAAATAAAAATGCTGAATGTCTAAAACTGCAATTCTATACATATGTGCAGGAACAAAATCCCTTGATTTCAGCAGGACTTGACATGTGACAGATTTCTGGGACTCCCAAGCAGTCGCCACATAACTGAAGGTCACCAGGTGAAAGAAAATTGATAGAGAAGTAGAGAATATGTTTCTGTGTAAGCATCCAAGAAGCCCCATTGAACTCAGTAAAGATTCAGGGTAAATATGAGAAGCTTGCGCTAAAATTATGAAAAGGGAAATTCATCTTGAGGCCTACCAAATGAGCATTTTTTTCCCATTCTAAATTAGCTGCACATCATGCAGTTTTTTCCTTAATATTTACAGCATTTGTTTGCTTCCATTAGGGGCTCTGGTTTTTTGACAGATATTGGTTCTGAAGAAAAGAGTTTCTAGCTTCTTTCAGCAATATTTATTTATTTATTTATTTATTTATTTATATAGTAAACCAAATCTTTATCACGGTCACAGGCCAGCCTGAGGAGGGTGGCTTACAGTCAATTAAAAAGCATAGAAGATACATCAGAGTCTTAAAAACAATTACAAAAAACTAGAAGATATAAAAGATATATGTATTAAAACAGAAAGTATATATAAAAAAAAGAGTCTAAAAGAAGGGGTAGGAGCATTAGATGGGTGTAGGGGAGTATAAAAGGTTAGTATGTGGAAGACTGTCTATCAAATGACAGAGCACTCTAACGTGGCAAACTAGGGGCTCGTTAAATCTAGTTTATGGCGCAAATCATCATCCAACAAATTTTGAGTGCTGCGCAGAACTTGGCAACCTTGCATGTCGTAGCAGGGTTTGAATCTGAAAGCAGCAGGGAGGTGTAGAATTGTCCTGTACACCCTGGGTATTTATGCAGTAATGGTGAATTGTACCTCCATTTGAATTTCAGCTAGATAATCTGAGGGAATATACAAATGGGCCTAGGGGCTAGATGCAGTTGGTAGGCTGTAGGTTGTCCATTCTTGGTCAGAAAGTTGAACTCTACAGTGCTAGATGAACTCTTGCAGTTTTGCTTGTTCTGACTATGAAGCTAGAAGGATGACCAGAGGTGAGGGATGTGGCTGTTTACTTCAGATTCAGTGAAAATTATGAACCAAATAGGATGCTTCAGAGGTATTGTATATAACCTGCAAAAAGACTAAAATAGCAAGGGAAGTACAGCCCTTTGGATACCAGGCTGATTCCAAAATAAGTTGCTGACTAATTCTTTCTCTTGGATGCACAACTTTTGTATCCAGTTCGCTAAATATACTTTATTATATTTCCGTAATATACTTATTTTGTAGTCAAATGAGAAGTGAAATACTTAGCCCCACCCCCACTGCTTTGTGTGTGTGTGGTGTGTGTGTGTGCGTGTGCATGTGTGTGTATGTATTCTGGACAATTCTACATTTTAAAATAAACCTGTCATCACTTTTAACCAAGAGGCCTGTTTTCTGATTGCATTTAAGAAGCATAATTATCAATTGTGTTCTTTTGTGAAATTAGTATAATTGTTCCAAATGTTCCTTTAGAAATTTAAACAGGCACAATCATGTTGACGCATTAATCAAGGTGTCAGTTTCTATTTCTATCATGTTCATATTTTTTAAGCATCAGTTTGTTCTATTCCATTTTTGAAATAGTTCCACATGAAATTCATATGAAATTCATCTACATTCCCATGGTTTGAACATTAAGCTTCACATAGTGTATGCTGGATTTTCTAAAATCATATTTTTGTCTTTACTTTCCCCTAACATTTGCCTTTTTGTATGTAATTTCTATCCAGAATTTTGTGCAATGTACATATATTTGTACTCACTTTTTAAATTACAGGAGTGCCCTAAAAACTCTGAGAACTGCAAAAATTAAAAGATAATTGTGTGAGTTCATATATTAGTTTGGGAAATGGAAATGGAAGTTAGCGCATATTAAAATGTAAATCAAATGAATTTCTCCCTCATCCGTGCAATAGACAGGCTAAACTAGAAGGACAAATTATCTTGCCTGATAAGTCCACTTGTTATGTTCCTGTGTTATTATTAACTTTTCCCGGTTGCATTATCTAATTTAGGGTGAAGACAGAGGCTTCTTTTAGTGCTAGCAAAGAGCTAATAAAAAAGAGCACTTTTGTAAGAAGCCTCTGTGGGCCACAGTTCTGCAAAGTGGTTAAGCTAATCTTTAATTAATACTATACATCTCAGCATTTAGAGGAACGACTTGTTAATTATTTGTTTAGTGGAGAAGACTCACACACCTAGATTGGGTTTATTTTAATTGTTATAATTTTTGTTACTGCTACTTTGCAACACGGGTAAACCACTCTGAGTCTTTGGAAGGGGGGGGGGTGTCTACAAGTGACTGTATAAACAAACAAGCAAACAACCAATGGGGAGGAAGCGGAATCAGCCATTATAAAAGAATGTGAGAATTTCAATATTGCAAAGGAACTGCAAATAAGCTTCTTATCGTGCATATTCTTTCATTTCCAAATCATGCATATTTAAATTGAGAAACATTTATTAAAATATGAAATTATTTTAGATGCTGCTTCCCCACTTAAAGAACACTTTGCATGAAGTGCAAAAGTGTGGTGCTACTGTTATTATTTCTCCTTCTCCTTCTCCTCTCTTAGCAATGCATTTACAGACAGATCTTCTTGTTCACAGAGAATGCAAACAAACTGGAAGAAAGTGCCAGGGGGATCTACATTCCATGTCCAGAACATTATAATGGTTTCTGCATGCATGGAAAATGTGAGCATTCTGCTAATATGCTGGAGCCATCTTGCAGGTAACTTTTCCCCCAAACTGGGCAGGTAATGATAACCTGAACAGGCAGACTTGATAAAACATGTTTTTTTTTTCCCAATGCAGCAAAGAAAACAATAATTGCTCATCCACTCTAGATCTAAATTATGTACAGAGGTACCTAATGTATGTAGTCAAGCTGCACTGAATTATGCAGCAGCATTAATCTGTTTATAAAAGCATTCCTGCAACGTCTGTCAATACATTCCTAACTAAAAAGGCACTACAGAGCATAGGCTAGCCCAGTGGGTATTGCCGTTGATTTCTAGCACATGGCCAACAGCTCTTGTCCCAGGAAATCCCACAGCGAGCAAAAGTCAAGAACTATGTCAACATCAATTTCTCCATGTGGCAAAATGGCTGAAGACAGATGGCTTGCACTGAGCAAGGGAAGGATGAGGGTTGAAATAAGGTTAGTTTCAGAAAGGAGCATTCATTGCATGCAGTGGAGTTTAAGTCAGGCTCCTATTCTCTCACTTAATAGCAAGGTTGGAGGGCAAGCAGGAAGGTAAGACTGTTGCCAGCCCCCTAAGCTGTCAGACTTAGGCCTTTGGAGCCCCTCAGAGGAAGTCCAAGGTATAGGAAAAAAATCAATGAGAAATATATGAAGTGCCTTTTGGGCAAGGAATATCCAAGGAAATCTTGACTAACTGCTTGGATGAAAAAGTGCAGCACATGGACTGGTCTTCAGGCAACTCCAACAAAGGGTTGCGGGGGGTGCCGCCTGGCCATCCTTTCAGCAAATGTCCCACCACTCCTCCAAAGATATTCTCTGTTCCTCTTACTCATTTTAATTCACCTAAGCATCAGGATTCCAAGTTGCCTTTTTCACTCTCATCTGGCCTATGAAGCAATGGAGGCAATGCCATCCTCTTAAAAAATAAATCTTAAAAAGATCAAGAGTCACAATGGATGTAAAGGTATTAGATCTGCTTTGTGTAAATGCAGATTGGACTCAGATACTTACTTTTCCTTCCATGTATATAATGCTGTAATTCAAATATAATTCCTGTACACTAACATAACCAGACCTAACATTTAAAATTTCTACAGTCAATTATGAATAAAACATCCACAGCAAACTTTATAAAGAGAGCAATGATAATGAGCTCATAAATGGCATATAAACACCTTCAGTTAATCACATTCAACCAACTCAGTGCATTCAACATGTTGAAAGCTGAGCAGGAGTCCAGATTTAAAAGCAAAAGATGCACATTGGTGAGGACTGAAGAACCCCCATTTTTTTAGAATAGCTGCTCTCCTCAGGTGGGTTACTTTCAGTTGAATCAGCCTCCAAGCTCAACTGAGAGGGAAAGGTTGTGGAGAGATTACGGTTCAGTATGTTGCAGGCAAGGGAGAATCTACTCCTTGCCCTTCCTTATGTGTGATAGAAGCAGGTGCACATTTGAACACATGAATCTTCCACGGTCACATTTAGTCTATGCTAGTGCTAGCATAAGTGGGAATGGCCTGTTGGATCTTTGTAAATCAAAGAGCCCCACTGATGCTACTCCTCAAGCCAGGGAGCAAGCTGCTCAGAGGCTTTGAACAGCTGCTTCCAGGCCCTCCCAAGGTCTCTGGGACATGCCCAGTTCCAGTGGAGATGCTTTCTGAAGTATAACCATGCAGGCCAGAAAGTCTTTCAGAGGGCCTCAAAACAGCCTAACTCCTGGAGTGCAATTCAACAGTATCATCCAATTGAAGCAGATTCTCCACCATGCTCCTGCTCTTGGAGCTCACAAATTAAGAATTAAGAATAGCTAGAAGTGATAATGATGTGTTGGAACAACAGGTCTGGTTTACTCCTGGTTAGAGATGGCTTCAGCCAGAAGAGATTATCAGTGTGATTGGCTGAATATTCACCTTTTCTTTAGGATGCCAATGCAGCACAAAGTTTGTCCTGGGAATCTGATTTAGGCAAAAGTATGAATCTCTGCAATAAATGAACTAATTTAACAGTTCACTAGACCAGCCTCCTCCAACTGTATGCTCTTCTGATGTGGTGGACTTCAGCTTCCAAAATCCTCAGCCATTATGGCCTTTAGCTAGGAATTGAAACCCAGCACGTATGAAGACCAACACTGGGGAAGGGTGACCTAGAACAAACTAACCTTGTCAAGAAGATGTTTTCCTTTAACCTTTAAGTTAACATGTATTGAGACAGGCAATTGTCTGTAGTTACAAAAACCCATTCCTTCTGTTGAAAGACATAATGGGCCTTCTCAGGTATTATACCAGGAATGCCCAATAACTGCCTCTTGATCTAGTTATCGAGCACCATCTCTCTCATCTTCTCTTCTGTTTAAAGCTCTGCAGACAGAGGAATTAATGGATCTGGACTTTCTCATTGCAGGTGTGATGCAGGCTACACTGGACAACACTGTGAAAAGAAGGACTACAGCGTTTTATATGTAGTTCCAGGCCCTGTTCGATTTCAGTATGTCTTAATAGCAGCAGTGATTGGAACAATCCAGATTGCAATCATCTGTGTTGTCGTTCTCTGCATTACAAGGTTAGTCACAGTATCATCTTCTTTTTCTGACACTCTTCTCTAGAGTATGGCATCTCAGCATAGACTGCCATCATGCATGTAACCAAACCTGCATTCCCTCTTTCTGTCTGATCAGTATCTAAACTGAAACTGCCTGGAGACACTGAGAAGCACTCCTAATTACAGCTGGCTGGAATAATCCTTCCCTGTTTTTAATGTTTTGGGTTGGCTCGTGAGCCACGTCTTACTCCTGAATTACTGAGAACAAACTAAGACCATCAAGAAGGCTTTTTCCTCAAACGTTCAGCTTAGCACAAGCCACAAGAGGCAATCATAGTAAAACTGCAAAAATCCAATGTCCAAATATATCTTAGTCTCTGAATTATAAACCAATCCTCTCAGACCCTTTTTTTTTTTAACTGCAGCAATCTTTGAAAACTTACTCAGTTTTCATTCAGATCAGTGATTTTTTTTATTTTATTTTTTTTAGCCATGCTCTAGGGAATCCTAGATTTCTTTGAAAATATTAATGGCTTGGGCAAGCTTCACTGAAAGTCTCCTAGTCTACAAATGTACCAGTCTTTCAATACAGTGTGCACTCACCATAGGCAAGCTGGCTATGTTCTAGGGCAGTCTTTCTCACTTTTTGCAATTGTGGACCACTCAGAAAATGCAAGACCACCCAATTAACAAACAGTCCTCTCTAAGTTTTCACCCTTAGAAGCATGGGAGCTCGTGCTTTTTGGTAAAAAAAAATAATAAATATATTTCTCATCCACTTCCAGTTTTAAAGGCCTTTTTCAGCAAAATTTTGCACCAGAAATATAATCCAAAATTAAATATTTCTTTACCACTGGAGGTTGGTTCTGAGGCAGTGAATGGGATCTGGCCAGTAAAGACTGAGATACTATGGCAGAATCTCCTCCACCAGCCACCCGTAGTCCACCAACCACGCATGGAGAATCACTGCTCCGGGATGATTTCTCTGTTAGCTAAGAATTACCCAAGCCTGCCCAGCTGCTACATTCTAGACAAAGGATATCTTTTTGAGGCTAAGGACCATGTTTTGCTTTGCTTTCCCTTCTTCAGCTTCCAGGGTCTATAAAATGATGGTGATGATTTTAAAAAATATTCTAAACTTTCGATATGTGCTGTCATAATTTAGCAACTGACCATGAATTTCAGTGGTATGATCCAGAAGGCTCCATTTCTACATGACTCACTACAGCTGACAGGGCAGGCATGCTCCAGGTCCCTTCCATCAGAAAATGTCTTGTGGGTCTTCAGAGTCATGCCCTCGTTGTTGTGCACCTGCTATACGGAACAGCATCTCCTCAGAAATTAGAATGGCCCTGACCTTTCTGGCCTTTTGCAAGGCTTTGAAGACCTGGATGTTCCCTCACTTGGGCTGGGAGGCTGACCCAGCCCTGCTGGGGAATTAGTTTGTTCTGATTTGTATGGATTGAAAATGGAATGTTTTAGACTCCAGCGTATGTTATCTTTATTGATGATTATTATTATTACTTTAGGCTCACACACACACGTTTATTACAGCCCTAAGGCCAGATACAGTCAAAGCATACAATACAA